TGCCTAGTTTATTGGAATTACAAAATAGAACAAATTCAAATGTATGGTTGAATGCTGAAAAATTATTTGTTGAGAAAATTGCTTTGGTTGATTCATAATGATTTATTATTAAAAAAAAAATGTGAAGAAATTTATTTATTAAAATTATTTATTAAAATTATTTATTAAAATTATTGTTATTTTGAAATATTTCAAATGTGACATTTTTTATAATATCGTTATCATTTAATTAATAACCAAGTTATGATGTGAATTATTAATTATAAAATTATGTCAATTATTCTTCCATATTAACTAATTATTATAGCATCACAGTTATGAATTTTATTAAGTCACCTACTGTGTACATGCAAATCAATGAATCTCAATTTATTTATAAATTATATAATCCCATAGATCTTGGCAAGATTTCCCTAACAGTAATTAATTAATTTCAAATTCATCACGCGTTGTGACAAATGTGATAACTGCAGTCACATGAGCTTTAGTTATATATAAAAAATCACATCAATTACATAGGTGCAACAACACAACATAAAGAAGTTTATTCGTAATATTTTATCTATTTTATTCATCAATATTATATTGCAACAATCTCACATATATATATATTCTATTATGAAACTCCTTTAATAGCAATAAAAATCTCAATTTTATCTAACTTAATTGAAAAGCAGTTTTGAATTACATAGAGGGCTCCAGGTTCTCTGTTGCGTTTTAGCCATCAAAGCTTCTGGACAAACCTTTGTTTCAATTATCAAGGTTTGTCTTAGTCTCTTATATGCATTGTAGAAATGATTGTTTTGAGTATTATGACTCAAACATCTTTTCATCCTCTGCTAGTTCAGCCTTTCTGGATTTGATCAATTCATTGGAAGCATGAAGGCTTAACTCTATCTACCATCTTCATTCACTGTACTCTCTTCATCTAAAGGATTGTTTGTGGGATCAATACTTGTACCAACCAAATAAGTGGATAATCATGTCATGTATTGAGGAAAAAATATTGGATTCCCATCTATGCACTCTTTGAGAAGATGTTTACACAGCATGTAAGTATTGTTGATGAATGCAATACATAAACAAATCCAATGATTGACATCTGTTAAATGTTTGTCTTTGGAGTCAGAGTCAACATCCTTATCTAACACCTTTTCCATTCATTTTTAAATGCTCTTCACAGGATTGGAATGCCAAGTTGTTGTTAAATCTTTGCCAAGCACTTATTTGATCTAGGATCAACTCTTTTGTCAGAATCTGTGTTAGGTAATCTAAGCAAGGACTATTACAAGTATACATGTGGTAGAAATAGGTTGATCACTTGACTCAATCAGGTGACTTTTTGATGCAATTAGTTGAGTCATATGAAAAACATATAAATAATTGAGTTAGACACAATTAAAAATTGAGATATTGGGAATTGAGTCAAAGCCAAATTAATTTTGATAACATGTATAATTACAAGTATATTTATAATTATATTTAAGAACACATCAATGTGATTCTGCTCTTGTTATGGTATCATCTTTGGAAAGAAGCCCATACAAAGAGATTCCAACTCATCTCATTATACCAGTTGGTCCACAAACATGTTCAAAGCAAACAAGATCCTTTCCTTTGCACTTTGATAATAAATTTCTGTTGAGGTAAGGAAGATCACTTTGTTGATTGGTATAAGTGGGTGCAATATTGCATGTTTTTTGACCATATTTAAAACTTCTTTTATGTTTTCCTCTGAACATAGGTATCAATAAAACTTAATTGTTCATTGGCTTCATTTTCTCACTGTGCTGTATATTGACTTGATTTATACTCCTTTTCTTTTAATTTGCAGTCAATTGCTTGCTCAATGTGCCATAAGCAAAGCTGAATATTTGCCATCCAAGTCCAGGCCTCTTGTATTGTGACTATTTGTTTTGCATCCTCATCTACAAGAACAAAAGTAGGTAAGACACCCTTGCTTCTCAATAATAATAACAATTCCCCAAGAACTTTTACTTGTGAATTGATTCTATTTCCAGGATCTTGAAGGTGATCTTCTGAAGCTGTGAAAGTATCAACATACAGACATGCAAGGGGAATTATTACAATTTCATTAAAAGGTGTAAGAAATCCAAGTACATGCACATGATGTTTTTGGGATATAGCACAACTTTGTATCCTTCATCAACTAATTCACTTTGCCTCAAAAAGTTTAGAGATGAAAGGAGTTGATTGCTATAGATGCATCTGTAAGGTATTGTTGAGCAGAGATTTTGAAGTTCAATAGTATGTTTGGTGGTAGGTATGTGTGCACCTTCAAATTATTAAGCTGTTCCTCACAAAGTCTTTTGACTTTTTTTAGTTTTAGATTTTTGATATCTATGCTATGGCTTTTTTGGGTAATTTATTTTCATGTTAGGTAGGTTGGCCATTAAATGCTGGGTTGTAACTACAAAATTGGAACCATTACAATTTATGCTACCCATGATTAAAATTTTTTCAACAAGCAAAATAATCCAGTTTTCCCCTTTCTTGAGGGTTATTTACTGCATATATGAGACTAATATTATTGCATCTTGTTTTGGTTCTGAAATTAAAAACCCAGGTTTTACAATGATTTTTTGATCCTAATAAGTTTTCAGTTCATCCCAGACATTCGTTTTTTTTATGCCTGTCAGGTTTTTAATCCGAAATACATTCATTTAGGAGGATTCATAAAAGAGATATCTGTCATTATTCAGTAATTAGAGAACTTAATAACCCTTCTGAAAATTTCATTACAAGAATGATCTTTATATCTGGTTTGGAATTAGATGCGAGTTTACATAATTATTGGGTGAATCTCTTCCAATACTTGATAATATTGCCAATATATGGTATTTGGCTGCAGATAACAAAAGAATCATTAAAACAACTGAATATATTGTGCATTGAATTTATTATTTATTTTTTTAAAAAATTTAGTAACACACACTTGTCCTGATGCTACGACTGTAAACAAATTTATAGCATAATTCTGGCCAGAATTGACATTAAAATTAGCTCACATAAAAGGCGGAATGACCAAATTCGACTGTATCATACAAATCTGTAATACGATTTCATTGTTTTTGTCATTAACGAGTAGGGATAAATAAATAATCAATGTGTTATACATCAGGTACGCGTGATCAATTATAGTATTCCGATAAAAAATCTTAGCATTGTTGTCAATTATCGATAATAATGATAAGTAAATAAATGTCATATGAATAAAACAAATAAAGTAGCTCATATATAATTTTAATTTTATGAAGTTTAAAAATACTTTCTTACAAAAATGGAAAATCTAATCTTTATAGATATGATAATTAATGAAGCTTTTTTTCTGAAATTTTAAATAAATGAACAAACGAATATTTCTAATTGGCTTAATATACACATGAATTTAATATATCTCATAAAACTACCAATTTTGGATATTTTTAAAAGTGGAGAAATATCCTTTGACTTCTTTAATACCAAAGATTCGTCACTGAATCAACAATGTCTTTAAATGGTGACATTATTGATCTGAATTAAAATGTGTAAATGTTTATTTCAACTGCTTTGTGTAACATTGATATCAGATATAATGTATATCTACGACACATGCATATAATCCATCTCGGCCATCACCATGACAAAAAAGAGGGAATTCGTTTTTTTTCACATAGCGCGTAATATAATTAAACAAGGAAAAAAACGGAGCCAATATTCAAGATCTTTTATTTAATTAATTTTAATATGGGATAATCATAAAATTTTTTTTTTATTGTTGATAAAATAGAGATAATCTATAATTTTTTTAGAAAAAAGAATTGACTATTTTTTTTTTAATAAAATCAAGTATTTATTTTGTGAACCAAAAAAAAAATAAACAAGCCATGTGATGAAAAATCGCGCAATATGCTGCGGGAGAAAAGTTAATTGTATGAAATTATTATTAGCATGTGAACATTGGCCAATGAAATGATCGAAGCTTATCTCATAATAATAATTAATTTTATTGCAATTTGTATTATCTAAATCTATCTAGAAGTCGGATCTTTGAGTTAGATATTTTTTTAAAAAGATAAAATCAGTAAATCTAGTTATTTTGTTGTTTTCTATTATTTTTTTTTATTTACGCATTCTTTATTTTTTTGAATTATTATTTTTTTTTGATTTAGTGATAAGGTCAAAATCAACGAAGTTACATGAACTGCGCGAATATAGTAAAGATTACCAAGTCGATTTTAGTCGGCTAAGTCCTTTTACAAAGCTCAAGTATTCATTCTACTATATATTTTTTATTATGTAATAAATAATTATATCATCCATCATCTCAAATTTATTATAAATATTTTATAAATATTAATTTTTGTAAGAAAAAATTTTTTTTTTTATTATTTTAACGCGTTGAACGGTTTTTTTCTTCATTTTCTTTCAATAAATTAATTGATTATTTATCAAAAAAATAAATATAAGAAATATAAGAAAGAAAATTTCAAAAAATAAATTTAATAAATATAATAATTACATAATATTATTCATTCTTGTTGTATAATAAATAACATAAAATCAATTATTTCATTAACAATAATATTATAAATCAAAAACTTTTTTTAATAGTCGTATAAAAAATCATATATATATATACATACAGTGATACATTTTTCTTTAAATTAATTTTAAAAAATTAATAATAATAATATGAAATCTATTGTTGAACAAATTAATAATAATAATACTAACAATAATATTATCGATATTAACAACGACAATAATAATAATAATAATAATAATAATAATAATAATAATCGTGTTATTCAAGAAGAGAACGTTAACTCTTCAGATTCTGAATTTTACCCTTATCAAAATAATTCATCATCATCATCATCATCATCATCATCGTCTTCTTTTATTGTTGATAACTCTTCTAATTCATCATGGGCTGATACTATTCCTTCTAAACAAGCTCTTTATGATCCCGATTATGAAAAAGATTCTTGCGGTGTGGGTTTCATTGTACACATTAAAGGTGCTCCCTCTCACAAAATTCTTAGTGATGCACAAAGTATACTTTGCAATATGACTCATAGAGGTGCTGTTGGTGCAGATGCAAGGGATGGTGATGGTGCTGGAGTTATGACAGGTATCCCTCATGATTTTTTTGTTCAAGAGACTCAAAGATTAGGTTTTGTTTTGCCTCCTCAAGGTCAATATGCTGTTGGCAATGTCTTTTTTAAACCTGAACCTGCTGTCATGGAGGAAAGTAAACAAATCTTTGAACAAATCGCTGATTCTTTAAATCTGAAGGTTTTGGGTTGGCGTGAAGTCCCAAAAGATAATTCTATTTTGGGTCCTGCTGCTATATCACGTGAACCCATCATTTTTCAACCTTTTCTCACTTTAACAAGTCATTTCAACACTTCCTTAAATCAAAATGCTCTTGAAAATGTTAACGATGTTGAAATCAACAACATTAATAATTTTGATGATAGTTATTTTGCTCGTCAGCTTTATATTCTACGAAAACAAGCTACTCATACAATCACTGTCAAAAAATGGTTTTACATTTGTTCACTTTCAAACAAAAATATTGTTTACAAAGGTCAATTGTCTCCTGTTCAAGTTTACAATTATTTTTACGATTTGAGAAATGTCTCTTACAAAACTCATTTAGCTTTGGTTCATTCCCGTTTCTCAACAAACACCTTTCCTTCTTGGGACAGGGCTCAACCTATGAGATGGTGTGCTCATAATGGTGAAATTAACACCTTACGTGGTAATAAAAATTGGATGAGAGCTCGTGAGGGTATAATGAAATCTGATTTATTCGGTCAAGAATTGGATTTATTGTATCCTATAATAGAAGATGGTGGTTCTGATTCTGCTGCTTTTGATAATGTCTTGGAATTATTGGTTATAAATGGTGTTTTAACTCTACCTGAAGCTGTTATGATGATGATTCCTGAAGCTTGGCAAAATAATCATTCAATGGAACCTGAAAAAAGGGCATTTTATCAATGGGCTGCCTGTTTAATGGAACCTTGGGATGGCCCAGCCTTATTCACCTTTTCTGATGGTAGATATTGTGGTGCTAGTTTGGACCGTAATGGTCTAAGACCATGTAGATTTTATTTAACAAATGATGATTTAATGATATGTGCATCTGAGGTTGGAACCATGTTTATTGATCCTGGAAGCATCATTCAAAAAGGTCGTTTACAGCCTGGCAAAATGTTGTTGGTTGATACTGATGAAGGTCGTATAGTTGATGACAAAGAACTAAAATTATCTGTTGCTAGCAGAGAAAATTTTAAATCTTGGATTGATAATCAAATGATTACTCTGGATCATGTTATACAAACACTTAAATCAAATGGCAAAAACATTCTAAATATTGAATTAGATAACTTCTCTATAGCTGATGATCCTAGATTAAAAGCTTTTGGTTATACAATCGAACAATTAAATCTTATTATCTCACCAATGGTAATATATATAAATATATAAATATATAATATATTCATTGATTTAACCATTAATCATTATTTATAATTTAATTAACATATTATAACGTTTTTTTTTATGTCTAATTTTTAGTCAAGTGAAGGGAAAGAAGCATTAGGATCAATGGGAAATGATGCTCCTTTAGCTTGCTTATCAACTCAACCACGTCTTATTTATGATTATTTTAGACAACTTTTTGCACAAGTTACCAATCCTCCAATTGATCCAATTCGTGAAGAAATAGTAATGTCTTTAGAATGTTATATAGGTCCTGAAGGAAACATTTTAGAAATGAATGAACAACAAGCTCATCGGCTTTCCTTACCCTCTCCAATATTATCAATTGATGAATTAAACGCTATAAAACATATTAATCTTGTAAAACATGATTGGAAAGTAATCACCATTGATATTACTTTTCCCAAACAAGAAGGCATACCTGGATACTTATTAGCATTGGAACGTATATGTGCTGAGGTTTCACTAGCTATTCAACAAGGCTTCAAAGTTGTTGTATTGTCTGATATTGCAACCAATGCTGAACGCGTGGCAATCTCATCCCTAATAGCTATAGGCGGTGTGCATCATCATCTGGTTAGAAGCAAGCAACGTTCTAAAATTGCTCTTATAAGTGAAAGTGCTGAAGCAAGAGAAGTTCATCACATCTGTGTACTATTAGGTTATGGCGCTGATGCTATTTGTCCTTATCTTGCTATGGAAGCTGTATTGAAATTAAAGAGAGAAAATGTTATAAAAAGTGATTTATCTCCTGAAAAATTTATTAGTAATTATAAAAAGGCTATGAATCAAGGCATTCTAAAAGTTACGTCTAAAATGGGTATATCTACTTTACAAAGTTATAAAGGTGCTCAAATATTTGAAGCTTTGGGTATTGATGAAAGTGTCATTGCTCGTTGTTTTGCTGGAACTGCTAGTAGAATAAAAGGTAATAATTAATATATCAATTTAT